AATATGGTGGAATGTAGGATAAATCCAAAAAAAGTAGTTGTAATAGTGTATTATTTTAAGAATTATTGAGGGTATGATGAGAAGATTTGGAAATGAGAAGATTTTTTTTGTTACATATGAAAAACGAAAGTGGGAAGATTTTTAAATTACGGAGGGAGTAATAATTAATACTCCGTACTTCTTTCGTCCCAAACTGATTTGCAAATTCAGTTTTTTAGTCAAACAATTTCATTTTATTCACATGATTAGGTTATCAATTTATAATTATACGGAGTATTATACTTTGGATTTTGCAACTTTATAGAGATTTTAATGTAATTTTCGAATATGTAAATTTCAATTTTTAAAATTAAATTAATTATCAATTAGGAAGATTCGACTTTAACATTGATCGACCAAAAACTTTGCAAATCAATTTGAGACGCAAACTGGACATGACAATATTCTAACAACAATAAATGATCAATAACCATGTATATACACAATTTATACACCCAATCTTTTACATTATCGTTCATATTGCAAGATATAAATGTAGTCATATTTATGCAATTTTATTATATGATATCGACTTACCAACAAAAATATACTCCGTATTAATCTAACAGCGAACATCATGAACAACAATCAAATTCATAAATTTTAAATCTTTAATTGAATTAATTCAATTTTAAAAATTCCTTATTGACTCATTACGGTTTACAAAATCTATATACTCAGATCAGTATTAATTTAACTGCGAACATCATGCACAACAAACAAATTCTTAATTTCTAATTCTTAAATTAATTCAACAAAAATATACTTCATATTATACTCCCTCTGTTTCATAAAAAATTATCATTTCGGTTTACGATATTCGACTGACGATAAAGCTAATCGTTCATCTAAACACTCATACAGAGTATTATTTTTAGTAAATAAAAATAATCAAAAATTACATTAAAAATTCTATAAATTCGCCAAAAGTAATTCAAATTTGATAAAGTTGAAAATATAAAGTAAAAAGTGATGTAAATTGAACAAGTGAATAATGAACGAGAACTTCATTTTGGGGCGAAGGTAGTATTTGTTAAAATTTAAAATGTTTTTTCAAAATTTGTCATCATTAACTGAAGAAATAAAAAATGGCTAACTAGAAAGAAACAAAAAGGGTATGAGGTCTGACCTATTCAAAGCAAAGTTTGTATGCCTGGCCCAGATGGGCTATTATTTACTTCTATTTAGGAAATTAACTTTTTAAATAACAAAGCATGGTCAATTCAAAAGTGAGATGAACTTAGGTAACACAATGAGTCAATGACATTCAGTATGAATTGCATGCAACGGAAGAAAGGAATATGTATTGATCAATGATGAAGAGGCTTCCACAAACTGAGAGCAAACATGACTCTTCCCTTCCAACTTTGCAACATCCATTCTCCCTCTTGATCTACGCTGAAATCTTTGTGGTACCCCATTTTAACCTTTGCCTTCATTTCCTTCATGATCTCTTGATTCAATCCAAGCATTTTAAATCCTGCCCTCTGATATCGTGTTGGATTAAACTCAACACAAAAATATCCATTTTTTTATGCAGTGATCCTGAGAAGTAAAAATGGAATAACTAGTATAGACTTTTTACAACTCTTCAGATATAAAAAGCTGTTTATTAAAAAGTAATTGACCTAGAAGTAAAATATATCACCTTTCCCTAAATAGCAGTCCACCTTTAATCTTCCCTAAATAGAAGTAAACATTAATTTTTAACCCTAATTTAATTAATTAATATAATTAATTGCCCATATGGTTCTCTTGTATAACCGGGTCAGTCCGTTGGTAAGCGGATTTGTCCTTTGATGGAGGGCAGTCCGGTGATGGCGGCGACCGACAGCAGCAGTGAAGCTCCAGCAGCATGCAAACTGGCAATGGATAAAATCTGGCATGTTGGCGGCCGGCGGCACCCGACAAATCAATGGCGAACACGCGACAAATCTGGGTAGTTAGTTGAACTATCCAGGCATACAATTAACAGAATCCAAAGTTACTTTACTTCAGGAGCATGTACTTTAAAGATTCAATTTCATACTGACATTACTTGTAATTACCAAGCTGATCAAGTTTCTCTTATCGGGAAAAACATACTATTACTTAAGACTACACAAGTATCTCAACAAAACAACTTCTTAATAATTTATCTTAATAAGAAAACTTGCTAAAATACTTTCATGTTCTCTATTAACACTACAACACAAACTCACAAGCTCACAACTTAGAATATATATATGTTAATTACTTTGCCCTGATTGCTTATTAGAATGAAAAAGAAAGACAATAGTAAATTAGAAATATCTCAAAACTAAAACATCCTAGGGGCTTAAAATATAAACTCAAGTTTGAGGTTCTACCCGCCCGAATTTCAGGACTAAAATTTTAAGAAACCAACTATGTAGCTGGAAAAAAAATGCTTTCGCACCCCAACAAAATAAGACCATGCTTCTAATGCAGTACACAATTTATCATTAAAATTTACATTTTCTCTCTTAAGTATCAAGCTTCTTCCAATTTATTAAACAACTTAAAACCCTTTAATTAAGGAAATTGATCTGCCTTCAAAGAAGATAACAAATGGTGATGTTGCTTTATAAAAGACTTTTAAACATTAGAAACAGTGAGAATTAATCCAATATAGCAGAAAATTTAAATTCTGTGGAGCATAGATTTCTTATACTTCAATTGGATTTTCAAAACAGGTCTTACATTTTCCTCATGTCAAACATAATTAGAGGAAGAGGCAAAATAAAGAATCGTAAGGGTAGCATATGAAAATTAATACCTGAAACCAGTTTATTATCAAGGAAAACAAACTTTCACTAGTTAGAGATGGTAATCCAAAACTCAATCAGTAGCTTGGTTCAGCCGATTGAAAGAGGAGAAAATTTTTGAGGAGAACTGAGATTTCTTTGTAGAGAAAACAGAGAGGTGGCATGCCGCTAGTAGGAAAGGAAGTGTTGCTTCTCAAGGGACTTTAAACAGATGCTTTTCTTTTAAGAATTTTATTCAAAGTAAAATTAAACATCAAAGCTAGTCCAATATTACATTTTCGAGTCTACTAATATTTAATTTGACTTACCTTATGTAAAAAAAAAATATCCCTTTTAAGGTTTAAAATAGTTTTAAACTACTAAACTCTATCTTTATCTTTTCATAAAACAAAAGACTCTACTGTGGTCCTATACTTCTGGAACTCAAAATTTTAACTTACTTGATTAGTATGCTGAAGTAGTCATGAAAGCTGAATCTAGTTTGTAATTAGAATTTAAGCTTTGAAAAGAACAACTATTCCTAATAAGATGAGCATCAGTCTCCCTCAATCCTTGAACACCATTTATTAATCGAAACTAAGAGTCTTAATATCTAGAGGAAAAATCTTATTGGGCTCCCTCTAAAAATCACTATGCGGGTTAACATTAAACTGTCAACATTAAAAGAAACTGTTTGCTTAGTTTTAAATTTTTATGTTTCTTAAGCACAAGACATCATAAATGTTCTGTTTAACAAAAATTGACATTGTCAAGCACATAACTGTCAAACATTCTTTTGTTTTCAATAATTACTTTATAATTCTATCTCTTTACTTCCTTAATTAGCTGTAGGATAATTAGGAAAATGCTATGGACTTTTTTTTAAAAAAAACCCTTCATCCCTTCACTAATAAAAATGTGTTATGTTCAAACATGTAGTCTATACGAGACAAAATAATAGTATTTTAATCGTAAACTTCCTTTGGGCCGTTCATTATCTAAAGTTACTTATTCGCTAATATTCCACAATATTGTTCCTTCTAACTTTAATCTTCTAACTATATAACTTAGGAAGTATCGATCGTTTGTTCATAGTGGTAAAGTTTATATAGCATTCAAAAATAAGGAAACCGAGTGGTAAGTAAGACATAATTCCATAGAAACTGAGAAGTGATTACCCGCTAAATGATCTGGTAGTAAAGTGTGCGGGTGGTATCTAAGATTAACTTAGACTAAACAAATAAATTTTCTGCGGTAAAATTCTTACTCAGAATTCACTCTTTTTTTTTTTTACACAGCCTCGTTATTATGCTCTTTAGATTTCAATTAGAAATAATAAACTGATCAAGGAATCTACACTAATATCTTTCAAAAGGAAAACTAACATCGTAGCTAGTTCCTTCTTACTAGTTTCATATACTCTTAATTTTGACTGAAACTAATTCAATTAAATAAAGAAATCACATAGTACAACTTACTCAACCGTTGATGTTTAAGCCCTTGAGTTACTGATGATTTATAATAAAAGAATAGTCTGTGGTTCCAAACTCTATACTCTTTATTCCCACCAATACCTCTATTACTCACAGAGTATACTAGTTCCCCACACAAACTAAGTGGGATATCCTCAACCAATACTCATACGTAATGGCTAATTGAGATGTTGATATTACCATATTCTTTATTCTACTGAAATATTCACTCTAGATCATAGTGTTATGAAGCACACCCTTCACCAATCCCTATATTGTGTGTAGGAGATCATAATTAAAACTCATGATTTACCAAGGAGTGGTTTAATCTAATCCTTCCACTCATCTCTTGTAATCTAACTTCTAAGAACCAGATACTACTAAAAACTTTTGAATCACACATATAGACTTGAATGGCAGATCTTTCTAAAGGAATTTAAGTAGTGAGACTCAATATCTTTTTTTTTTTTGGTAACCAAATGGAAAAATGAGGAAAACCTTTGGAAAAAAATGTACAACATTGTTTAAATCTCAGTGCCAAAAGCAAAGAATACTCTGAAGATTTCTTTGAGACATTTTAAAAATCTAAATTTCTTCTGAAACATACTTTTGAGGAAATAGCTAAATACTGTACTAATATATCACTTAAAAAATTTACTTATTTGAATTTTGGTAAAAATCACTGCCATGTGATTAATCATTAATCACTAAACGCATTAAATGATTAATCAACACACTTTAAAACTTATTTTGAAAGGAAAAAAGATGCCATACATACTTATCCCATCACTGCAACTTCATAAAAATCAAACATGGGAAAAATGCAGTCTTGTAATAAAACAAACTCTAGAATTGAGAATTAAGATTATGGAGTGAAGACTGTTTTGTTGCTCAAACAAAGAGTTAGAGACTAACAACAGATCAATAATGACTTAAGTGCTTACATATACAGATCGATCAGGCCATCCCTGCCGGTTCAAGGTCGAAAAGCAACGGAAGGCTGATCAATATTAACACCTAGCTTTGCTTGTTTATGCGGATGAGCTAACTAGGTACCCAGCATGAACTTGCACATAGAATCCGCCCCTTCCACCCCTGCAACATCCAGTGACCATCTTCCTCCAACATAAAGTTTTCGTGGTACCCTGCTTTCAACTTTTTTCCGATTTTGATCATTATCCCTGGCATCACTGGAAGAAGTTTGAACCCAGCCCTCATAGTCCTCACTTGCCACTTCTTGTAAGTTTCAGGCCTTACGATCCTCTCTTCCCCCTCACATGCAATCACATTCAATGACTCGCGCCCATAGAATTCTTGCTCAAAGAGAAACCTCTCCTCATCGTCACGGGGTAATGTATTCTCAAACATATCAAAAACTGCAGAGTAATAGAAGAGAGCTTCTCGGAACCGGGTGACAAAGAACGGAGCACTATAAGACCCACTAATAACACTGTGCACAAAAACACTTGGGTTCAGTTCACGGATTAGCTTGAGTACTGCATCACGAGGACTGTCACCCATTACTGTTACATCAAGCAGGTTTTGTAACCTATATGAGCACTTCACAGCAACCATTTCACCTCTAACGAGCTTCAAGTCTTCAACTTTAAGTGTCTCCCAATTCTGAGTTGCTATTGCATTGTACTCAAATGGCACGTGGAATCGCTCACAATATATTCCCAGACGGCGGCCAGTCTCTTCTATCAGTTCCGCTGGCCGAGAACCTGGTTCAGGAAGCTCGATTCCAGTAATGCGAAATTTAGGAGGCCCGCCGGGCCGGATTGCTAGATGTTGGATAAGAGAAGGCCATTGGAAACCAAACTCAATGCCAAAATCTATGACATGTAGAACTTGAGCTTCCAATGACATCATGAAAATCATTTTATTTCCAAAGCCTATTGACATCTCCTCAAAAGGGCATGCTGACATGTAAACCTTGTATGCACTCAGCTTCTCAAAAGCTGTGATCTTTTTGGGGACTTGGGATGTATAGAGCTGGGTCCCCAAGCCAGACAAACGTGCCTCAAGACCATTTGCCATTACATATGCCAGCCTCTGGTTCACATCACCTTTAACTGAACAGTGCTTTCGGATCTGTGTCAGTTGTTCATTTGCAGACTTGCGATCATCAGCAGCAACTGATTGTGAACAGTTGGTTAGAAGAGTTATAAGGTCTACAACTTCACTTGTATTTCCCTGCTTCTTCTTCTTTGTGCGCCTTTTACCACCATTGTGTGGTATACCCTCATCATTCAGCACATCATATGGCAGGCCGTGACCAAATTCAGCCACATTCCTGCAACATTCGTCAGGATCAAGCAGCAAAACTTTATCAAACATCTTTGTTAACTCCTCTTCCACATAAACTGCAGATTGCTTGTTGCTTCTCTCTTTCTCAAGCTCGTCTTCCTCAAGAGGCAATGAGTCTTTAACCAAATCTATAACCAATTGATTAGTAGCTGGGAGGATTGTACTCGCTTCCTCCACTCCTCTCTTGAACTGCAGCTTGGCTTCTGTGTCACTAAATATATTTCCAAGCTCACCATAATTTAACATAGAGTGCACTTGGATTTTCGTACTACTCTCATAATTATTTGAAGAAGCATTTGAACTCACAGAGGAGGTAATCGGAAAAGAGGAATGGAAAGGAAGTTCAGGAGGAGGAATCATAAAAGATGATTGTATAGGATCACCAGTCCACGGAGGTGGTTCACTTGAGTTGTCATACATGCTGTCCGAGCTTTGTGTACTTTTATGGCTAATGTGGTGGGATTCATGAGAAGGAGGATTTTTATCAAGGGCTTCGTAGAAGTACTTCTCAGTAGCTTCAAGAGCAATTGGGTCATGGAACATACTGGGCTTCTCACTGATGTTCTCTTCCAACAGTATCTGGTTGAGGAACTTGAAAACAGGATTAGTGTGATGATCTTCTTGTGAGTCCAACTCTACAGGTGGAGAAAGGTATGAATGGTTGCAACTGGATGTACTCAATGGGTCACCCGTGAATTCCAGAGCAGCTAATGGGTCATCTGAGTACTTGCAAGGAATATCTTGAGATTGCTGAAGGCTACTGGAAAAAGGGAACTCATCTTGCTGCTGGATTGTATTTTTAGAGTCAGGCAACTTGGTAAATTGAGGATCCATAAGTAAACATATATGTGAAAAGAACCTGCAACATCCATAGTCAGAACTCGCATGAGCCTTAACATTTTGAAATGTGAAATTGGATCTCGAGATAGTCAGCCTTAGTCCTATGAGGCGTAACGAGACATATACCTCGAATTTTCTATTGTATATTAATTACAATAATTTCAAAAATAAGTTAATAAATAGATAATCCATGCTTGAAGTTCAATGACAACAAATCTTGAAGCACAAAGATATCGCACATTCTATGGTTAAAGAAAGATAAAACGATGAACCAGTAGATTGACATGAAAGAAGAATAAATAATGAATTTGTTGGAGATGATATCTGTTTTTCAATTAATTGGCTTACTAAGAAAGCATCACTTAACCCCTTCTGATAATTTAATACAGACATGAAGTTATAGGAAATTTAAAGTTAGCACCCAAAGAAGGTTTTCAAATCGAGATTCAAATCCTACTTAGGCAGATGAACATTTTGGAGGGATAATACAACAATACACATTGTTGAATTAAGACTCGATATTATAGATTGAAGATTGTATTTTTTCTCAAACAGAGAGTGAGAGATTAACATCTATTGGTGAATACAGTTCTAACAGGCATTGATCAAACTCTACTTGTAATTGATCAAACATCTATTGGTGAATACAGTTCTAACCACTACATGTAACAGGCATCTCGTCAAAGGTGAGATGGTTGCTGTGGACCTCATATTTAACATCGTGGAGTAGTGGAAGAGAGCCTCTCCGAACCGAGTAGCAAAGAATGGATAATTATAAGATCCAGTTGAAACAAACTAACAGAGTGAACAAAAATATTTGCGATCAGTTTGCAGATTAGCTAGGTATAGAACTGCATCACGGGGAATGTCCGAATGTCCACCAATCTGGTGTTATCCGGCACCATTTTAACCTATAAGAGAAGTCCACAGCAACCATCTCACCTTTGACGAGCATTAAATCTTCAATTTTAATCATCTCCTAATTCCGAACCAAAGCGCTCACGATAATTACTTCGCCAGGCGGCGCCCAGGGTCTTCGGTCAAATCTGCTAGACGAAAACCTGGTTGAGGAAGATTGCTTCCACCAACGTGCAGTTTAGGAGGCCCACACCAGCCCTCATTGAAAGATGCTGGATAAGGACGGAACATGCGAAACCATACTCAATACCAAAATCTAAGAACTGTAGCGTTTTAGCTTCCACTGATACCAAATATATATAATTTTGTTTGCAAAGGCTATGGTCAATTTTATATCTTCTTAAACGGGCATGCTAACATGTAAACTACCATACTTTCAACTGCTCAAAAGCTATGATCTGGTTAGGGGTTCAGAATGTATACAGTTGGGACCCCGTTCCAACCAAATGCGCCTCAAGATCGACCTCTTCCAATGTAAATGCCAGCCTCCTATTCGCATCACCGTTGAGAAAACAGTGCTTTCGGATCTGTTTCAATTGTTTAATTTCATACTTGCGATCATCAGTAGCAACTGATTGTGCACAACCAAATAGAAGAGTCCCTAGGTCTACACCTTTATTACTAGTAGTATCTCCTGGATGCTGCTTCTTTTCGCCTTATTCCCTTTCCCACTACTACTTCAGGTAAAAGTTTAACTCCCCCACCAGGCCACCATCAGGCACATTAATTGTGAGAAGATCTAAAGATTAATGCTTATTCAAAATGTAGCGATAAATATCTTCACTTTAAGAATCACTCGACTAAAACACTGGATTAACAAACAGAAAGACCGATCACTGAATACTTAGAAAGTTAACGTTCTTTTCTTTGTCTTCACCATAAACATTAGCTGACATTTTCAACATCACAAAAATAACACGCAAAGTTGAATGAACATATACAAGCTGACAGGCACACACAGGATTTTAAATAGCGGACTGCTACAGCCGTAGCGGCTGCGGGTGGCGCCGCTACCGCATTGGGCCACTATACCGGTGTGAATGAGAATCACGACGAAAACCCACTACGTAACCACAACGAATCCACTACGGCGGCACATCAGCCCGCTTAATGCCGCTACAGGCCGCAATGGGCCCGCATCACCATTGTGCAAACTTGAAAATATTTCACGCCGCAATATGCATCGCAGCGGCCGCATTAGTCATTACCGCAATGACCGCTACCCCTACCACAATTTAAAACCCCCGGCACACATAAAACATTTACGGGTACCAGAAATATACATCTTTATTGGAATTATTTATAGCTTAAGCTCTTGTCTTTAATGGAAATGAGTGTTCAAATTGACGGAGAAAAGGGAGAAGTGCTGGATTATATTGGAATTTTAATGGATTAAGAGAGTTTTAGGCAGTCGAAGACTAGAGAAAAGATGAAAAGAAACGCACAGAAACAGCTCAAGAGATAATTCAGACGCGCACCTGGGCTGGGATCCTAGAGAATAATTTGAGCAGACTGACACTGCATAAGCAAGGCCTTCTGTCTGGGAGAGGAAATGGAGTCCAAAATGCTAAATTTATAGGGAACGGAAAATGGCTGCAAGAAGCGGGAAAACCGGAATTAACATCAGAGAAAGAAGGCTGGGAAACAACAAAGCAGATGGCGGGCCCAGGGAAAGACATTGGCCCAGGAAAAAACTCAAAAAGAGGTAAATCGGTGACGTCAGCGCGGGTAATCCCTCACTTTCAACGGCCCCAATGTACGGAGTACATCAGTACCTAATACGCACTAATTGCGAGATAATTTGAAAAGAAATAGGCCTATTTATTTCAGTAAACATATGTATGAAATATACGTTGCCTTATTGGGTAAATGGATGTCTCATACTCCTTCCGTCTCGAAATTAAGTTCTCATTTTTCTTTTCGGGATGTCATGAAATTTCTCACTATATTGACAAAGCGAATACGTTTGTGTTGGGACATTGGGCCGCCGGAAAATTGACTGGCTCAATATCACCAAGTCAACTCTTGCCTTGCCTCCCAAACACACAAGGACCGGGGGGCTGGGCACCCATCTCAGGCCGAACAAGATCCGGTAAAGGGTAAAGTCAGAAAGCAGTACATTGGGGAATCTGGAAAGGAGGCGAGCCACCTTAACCAAGCCATGTGGCATTGACGGAAGGGTGAGCCTAACGGTGCTTACGTTCGATACTAGGGGTGGGCAATTCGGTTTACGGTTCGGTTTTCTTCGGTTTCGGTTCGGTTTCGGTTTATTCGGGTTGGGAGAATTTGTACCAAACTAAAACCATTTGTTTTTCGGTTTGGTTTCGGTTCGGTTCGAAGTTCGGTTTACCAAAGTAAAAAAATATTATGTTTAATTTAGTTTGATTTGATTCGTTTCCTTGTGATTATAATTTTATGTGATCAAGTTCTATATTTTAGAATTAGAAAATGAAAGTAGTAGTCCATCTCATCTTTTTTTAATTTATTGATTATTTAAATAAAATGTAAAAGGAAATAAAAGATAGAAAAGTAATTAATAAAATATTATAAATTAAAACTTCTAACATCTTTTTTATCACTACAAAAAAAATCTCTTCTTACAAAAAATAAGATAGTTGATTAGCATTTATAATATCACATAAAATATTTAAAAAAAAAAACTAAAAGAGTCGGTGGTACAAATGTTGTCATGTTCATAATTTTATTTAAATGAATCATGTAAAAATATGAAAGCAATTTTCTATTGTTATCGCCAAACATATTAATACAAATATGTCGTATTAGCTAACTTTGTCATAATGAATGTATGAAATGTGTAAAAGTTTAAATGATACGAGTATATACTTAAATATGTATTGTCATGTCTAATAAATTATTTATTTATATCTTAAAAATGAAGAGTGAAGATAAATATAAAGTACACACACATGTGTGTGTGTTGTTCGGTGTTCGGTTTACAATTTTTCCGTTTTAAACCAAACCAAAGTATCAAACCATTCGGTTTGAGCAAATGTTTACCAAATGGTTTACTTAAGTAAACCCAAACCAAACCAAATCAAACCACCAAATTTAATAATATATGATTTTTTTTTAGTTTCTTTAGTTCGGTTCGGTTTTGTTCGGTTTTTGACGGTTTCGGTTTGGTTCGGTTCGGTTTAATACGGTTTGGAAGAAATAGTACCAAACTCAAACCAAATTGCATACGGTTCGGTTTCGGTTCGGTTTGGTACGGTTCGGTTCGGTTAAACCAAACCGTTATGCCCACCCCTATTCGATACCCAAGCCGATGCTTGGCCTAAGCACAAAACAGGCAGCACCCGTGTGCACTTGCATAGGCTGAACTCCAAAGGAAAATGTGGACTTGATAAGCGTTCATATAGTCTACGGTGGACATTTTCTTGCTAAATCTCCAAAGAGTAGTACAAAATAATCACCGAATTTACGGCCCACGGACACAATAACTTGTGTTATGCAGTCAGGGGAGGACAAGGGCGGAGCCAGAACACTGGGCCGGATTGGACCGGTACAAAGAATATTTTTGAAAAAAAATTTACTCGTAATTTTTTACCCTAAAAATTTAGACATTTTTAAAATTTGGGTTGGGCCATGGCCAGGGTTGGCCACCCCCTGTCTATGCCCCTGGGGGCGGAGCTACTAGGGGGTCAGGATGGTCAACCGACCCCGCTGAAAATTTAAGAGTGTAGAGCTCTGAAATATCTTCGATTTGATATATTATGGATCTTGTAACTCATTACGAGTAAAAAGTTATGACTTCTGCAAAATCAGCACTATTTAAGTTTGAAATTAGTAAAATTGTGATGCGTAATATTAATCATATTCACAAAATAGCGTGTAATTAACTCGTTACTTACGTGACATGACTTAGGGACAGAACAAAGACAACATATCTTACTACTACGAGTGCCTACTCAATAAATGATTCTTTTCTAGCAAGAAATCTTGATGCTAAACCGAGTAAGATCGAAGAGAACCATAGAGTACTAGGGTAAGACAATGAGTCTCATTTGAGGTACTCAACCCGTATAAAACAAGTTTATAATATGTGTGACATATACGAAGTATATTAAGTACATATACTCTATTAGTTTCATTTAAACTATCATTTATCTAAGCTACATTCAATTCGGGTATTGTCTAAAAATAATCTACCGTTTTGATTCTATGTAAATTTGATTTCGACCCCGCTGAGTCATTTTTCTGGCTCTGCCCCTGTATGCAGTGACAGTGGCACTGATCGTGTCATTGGTGGTTTACCCAATGGAGTCATTGGCAGCTATATATCTAGTCACTTTTTTTAATTTATAAAAACAAATGTCATATATTGTCTTAGCATTTAGTTCAGTCAAACCAAAACCTTAAAACAGAAACTCCTTTCAGAATTAAGCCATCTCCATCTCACTCTCAACGAAACTGGATGGCTGAAGGGTAAAAGCATCATAGAATGATTTCTCAGCTGATAGAAGAGCCACGAAGTCTTAGAACATGCATGGTCTGTATTCCAAACCGTCTTCCTCCACAATTAAGCATCTGTTCATCTGTTGTATGTGCTTGAAGACCCCTTCAAAGTAGTCTCCTTCCACTGGAGTAGATGAAAAATTGAAGAAGCTGGCCATTCATCCCTTGAGCTATTTTGAGCCAGAAAGAGGGTGTCTATTGCCGCATGACATTAGTTAATATTATTAATTGTTTATTCCATGTATTATCTCATTGTATTATCTCATACGTGTACACATTGGCAGCATTATCCATACTTTGTGGGTGTTGGTTAGGAGGTCTTATCCCTAACTATTATTAGCCATGTAAATTATTCAATACACTATTTTCCAAAATACCTCTTCATGTATCTAGAGTCTTCCTCGAGATATCAAATTTTTTTCGATCCATCCATGGCTGCCATCACACCTACCATGGCGAAGCATGCCTGGGATAACTTTCCCTCACCTGTGCTAGCACCTCATAAGGCAGAATTATTACTCTCAAGACCTCCCTCTCTTAGACCACAAAAGGAGGCCGCTCCATCACCAAATACATCGCTGAGATGTATGCCATATCTGAGGCATTGGCCCTCGTTTAAAATCCCATTTCGGGGGAAGATTTGGTCATCAATATTGTAAATGGCCTTGGATGTGAGTATAGCGAACTCACGTCCGCTATTCGTGTTCGATCCTCGGCACTCCCTCTTGTGGAACTTCAGGATATTATTTTAGAGAACGAACAAAAACTTCATGAGGCTGATGCATCAACACAAGCCCTTGTCCCTACCGCCAATGTCTCTCAGACCAGAGCATGTTCCTTTAACTCCCCTCCAGTTGATGATCGCCGCACTATGCACTCCACAGATCGTCGAGGTCAAGCCACTCGTCGTGGTTTCGCTGGACAGTGGTGACGCCACTACAGTGGTGACACCATTGTGACAAGTCTTACTGTGACACGGTGATGGCGGCGGCAGTGACACTATGACATCCAACATTGACATAGAATTGAACATGAATATTAGGCAATCACTTTATACGTAGTAAATTCCAAATATATAACCTTAGTCACATTTTTGTCCAAATGTTAATGTGGTCATATTTTTAGAAATTAGCTCTAGTTT